ATTTGGTTAAGGGTAGAGGTGTTTAATATAATATTTATATGTTTTTCTTACATGATCTGAAAGCCCAGATCATAGCTTCAAAATTGGCGTAGTTGCAGAAAATCGGGTATTGTGGTGAGATCCATACCCGTTTTTTAAGTCGGGTGTTGGAGTAGTTCAGATCGGCAGATCCAGTTGCAGAATGGGTTAAAGACTGCTTGGGAATTGGAAAAATGAAACTAATTGATGGTTACACTTTTATTAGTATTGCAACTTGTTGCCATTTTGGAAAAGGAATAATTACGAAAAAAATATAACATATATTATTAAACATATTTTTAATCAACTTTTAATAAGTTACATCTATTTTTGGTAAAGCATATTAGCGCGACAACTTATACATATTAAACTAATTTTATTATAAAAAAATTATATATTTTCAAAAATTTAGTTTAACTACCAATTTATAAATTGGATGATTTTTTTAACATAAATAAAAATTAGTAGTTTTTTAGCACAAATACAGGTCATAGTGATCGTGATAAAATTTTATAAAAAAATAAGTTTTTTTTAGCACAAATGAAAACTATATGGTTAAATCGAAAAAAATAACGAATATAATGGTTTTTTAGTTACTGTTAAGTTATAAATATCACAAAATGTTGGTAAAGCTCTAAAAATAGGTTTGTAACCTGGTTGTAGCAACAAAAGTGATTATAGAAAACTTGTTTTTTAGTTATTATGAAGTTATAAATATCACAAAATGGTCCTAAAGCTCTAAAAATTGGTTTGTAACCCTCTTGTAGCAACAAAAGTGATTATATATATATATATATATATATATATATACATATATATATATATATATATATATATATATATATTTTTGGTATAGTTGCATTAGAGGTATTTTGTTAAAATTAAAATAGGTTCAGCTCGAGATTGACTTGTGATTCAAAATAAGTTGTTTATGCTGAAAACTTAAAAAAAAAAAATTAAATGGCGGAATCGTTAGAATGATAAATTTACCTAATATTATGACGAATGAACAATATGCCCGAACTTTATGCTGAAAACATAAAAAAAAATTAAATAGCTGAATTGTTAGAATGATAAATTTACCTAATATTATTATGAATGAACAATATGCCCGAACTGGTCGAACAAAACAAGCAAATATTGTTGAATATTTTAGGGCATGGGTTTCCAAATGTTAGAATATATTTCTTACGGATATTTGTTTGAACATGTAGGATTTCAGTTACCAAAGATGAAGTAACCAAGGACCAAGTTTAATCGTATGAGTTTCGTGCGATTATTATGTTTGCTTGCACAAAAATATTTATCAATAAAATATTATTGAATATTGTAAGGAATAAATTTCCAAATGTCGTAATATATCTTTTAGGGATACTTCTTGGAACTTGTAGGGGTTTCGGTTACCAAAGATAATGTAACACCCTTGTTACATCCCAAAATACACGGATAAAAATTTCATTTTTAATATAATCAAAACATTCATTTATCATTTATTCAGTCATTTAGAAGTATTTCAAATAAAACAATTATCAGAGTACAATCCCAAAATCACTAGTTGCGGAAAACACAGGTGTATGTGTTGCGATCAAGCCGAACCATTCCATTTTAAACAAGAAGTACCTAAAACCATAAACCACAAATTGTAAGCACAAAGCTTAGTGAGTTCCCCAAATACTATATACCATACATACCATACAAATCATACATATCAACATGTAATACGAGGTGCTATGTGCCAACCATAGTCTTGCAATTATGCCACGAGCCATATCGTGGTGTTTCCTTGCCATGTCGGGGGCCAAAACCCTAGGTCTTACAGATAAGTGCCAGGAGCCACCTCCTGGTCTTTCATACAAATACCAAGGCTCACCCCGTAGTCTTCCAATAAGACATAAACAAAATGGGCCGACATTGGTGCCTTCGACCCATAGTACAATAAGGAGACTCACCTCGATAGCTGAACCCATGAATAAATCTCTAACTGCAGATCCGCTAGAATCCCCGTGCTATCAAACAAATAACACCTAATTAACAATTGGGCTCCAAACCAAATCCAACAATCCAAATATGCGGTAAAAAGACCATTTTACCCCTCTCCTAGTTTGGTCCAAGACTAAGGCACAAACTCCCAATCATAAAGGCCCACAAACCAATAATCATCTAAAGCCCACTTATGGCCTAATTTTCCAAATTGGGACCAAACCCTTACATGGGCCTTACCCTAAATCCCATTAAATTTTCTCTAATCCAAAACACTTGCTCTCAAATAGCCCAACAAAGCCCTATGCAACCAATCCCAAAAGATAGCCCAAACATGCAAGGCCCAACAGACCAATTACGCGGGGCGTACTTAGCATGTTTGTGTGGCGTACTCACTTGGTGTCTTGTACACTAAGCGTACCTGCTTGTATGCCCATCGTACTCACCTTATTCAGCCCAAAACTTGAGTTTTCACTTAATCCATTAAGATAAAGCTCCAAAACAGACTTCCTTGAGCTGGATTATCACATAAGGTTGCCAACGTTATGTTTATACATGGCTAAATGAAGCTCTTAAGCTTAAAAGGGACTTAATAGCTGACTTAATGCATGCATGACACAAAAATTCACATAAAGCTTGCACCTTTATGCTCAAGGATACCAAAAAAACATCATATCTGAAAGAGCAAGCCCTTAAACGACCTAACTCATCCATAACCTAAAAAGGAAACAAAAATCATAACAAACTAACCATGAAGAGATCTAAACATACACAAGCCAAGATGCAAACTTGATAGCTCAGAGAGCTTACCCACAAGATGATGATTCTGGATCCAAAGCCTTTACCACCAAACAAAGCAATCCTTGAGCTTCTCTAATTCCTTCACCAAGGCAAAATAAGCACTAAGGTCCTCTTAATAGCTCAAGAACACCACTAAGAGGCTAAGGAGTCGATTTAGGGTTTTTAGGGTATGTAGGCTGGCCTAGAAATGAAAAAAAAAAAGGCTAACATAAAGATTATATAAGGTACATCATGAAAAATTAGGGTTTCTTACTCACCCTCGTATGCCTAATGTACGAGGTCTCAAACCCCGATCCAATCATCATAGTACGCTAAGCGTACACCCCATTACGCACGACGTAATACCCTTCGTATTAATACTCCCCGCATACTAGGGTTTCACTTCAAACCCTAACATATTTCAAAGGCCATAACTTCTTTGACACAACTCTGATTCGAACCATCCTTATATCCATGAAAAGGTAATGAGAAGCTCTACACTTTAATCAACTCCCGAACGGAAATCTAATTTCCATAAAATCCTGCTGCCAGATTACCAAAATACCCTTTAGCTCTAAAATCAAGTCTAAATGCTCGAATGATCCACATTTCATCACCCATACATGTAGTTCTGGTTGAATCGAGTAATCAAACTAAATCATAGTTTGAAATGATTTAGAACAAGATTTCTAAATACAATATGTTTGGCAAGTTGTATTGCTTGATTAGTTGAGTACAAATGGAAAGAGAATTGATTACAATCAGGGAAAAGTTCTTAATCTCTAAAAGTATCCTTCCTGTATTTATAGGGAAAACTGAAAGCACAAAAAGTATAAGGACATTCAACATCTAAGCTTCGTTACAAAAGTAGTCCTTAAAACAAAATACAAGCAAACATTCGACATTACGAACAACTAAGACAATTTCGACATCTCATAACCTCCGAATTTCCAACATTCTCCCCCTTTGTGAGAAGTGTCGATTCTAAGCCATTAACATCTGGATTGCTTAATGCATCGAACTTCTAATCGTTGCGTACCAATTCATCATCATCTTCAAATCAGCCTTATCATTATCATTGTTTTTCTTACAATTATTTATATGAACCATCAAGTTCTTATAATTATCCGTAGTATATCTTTTGATATCATAGGCTTGAAACAAATACTTTATCTTTCTTCCCTTCTTGCTTCTTCCAACAAAAACTATTCAGGGGGGCTTTAGACAAATTGCTCCATCATCATATGGCTGCAAATCAGCTTTACTCTTCAAGAGTTATTGAGGTACATTTATCTCTTTGCCCATTGTCAAAGCTAATTCAACATCTGTCAATGCTAAACAACTGAAATAATTGTCGATGAAAATCTAGATATGAGCAAGGCCCAGCAAATAATCTTCTTTGCTATACCCTGAAGTTTTGTTTCGTTGTTGACCTTAAGAATCTTTGCGACTGTGATTAAGTCATTCAGATTCATGAGATGGAAGTCAGCAATAGTGAAGTTGAAAGTTATATTCTTTACTCTGACCACTTGATATCGGAAATTTTGAAGTACACCCTCAAATAGAACATATTTGGATATATTCAAAATTCGAACAATCTTGATAAGCGACCAAACTTCTTCTTCTTCTTTCCCAGATACTGCATGGAAACGAAGTTTTAACTTCTTGAATTCTTCTTTATCATCGAACTTATCAACAATCTAATATTGCGAAGTAACAAACATCATCTTGTTGGTGGGAAAGTCTAGCTTATTCATATCTAAGTTCTCAGTAGCATAACTCTTATTTGGCTTCTTCTCAAATTCATGCATCTCTCCATGTATTACCATAGCTTCAATATTCTCATAGCTATGTAGTTTCCTTGGGTCACCTTTGTTCAGAGTTGGAGGATCATTTTGACGAAGTCTAAGAATACTTTAAATCTAGCGTTGCTTTTCCATTTCAGCTTCAATAGTTTCTTTTCTCTCTTCCTTCGATTATTCAACGACAAATTATTTTCCTTTGAATTTATCTACTTCAGTGGGAGTTGGCTTCAAAGATGGACTTGATCCACCAATAACAATCCCTTTTGTCAGAGGTTTTGTTGTTGTAGTTGTCGAAATGATTGGATCGGTCTTCTTTGGCAAAGTAATAGGAATTTGAGTTGTCAGAACTTTTCCCACAACTTTCGCATCAACACTTACATCACCACTTGTTTTCCCATATTATTTTACTTACACCAATCACTTTTCTTTCTCCCCCTTGCACCCCTGTAACAACTGGTGGGGCATTGGAGCCAATTTAGAATGAATTGTTGACTCAAGCAAATGAAACTTCTGAGTTAAAAACTCAGTAGTGAACAAAGACGGAGAACTAGACTTTAAAACCATTTCCTTCAATTCAACTAAAAGAGAGTGAATTTTCCCAAAATTCTTTAGATCAACTTCCGCCTTCTCATCTATTTTCGGAAGCATAGAATTATAATACTCATCAATGTATGTGACACCATCATAAACTATATCGACTTTCGTGAGTAGAAAAGAATGAGTAGTTGTCATGTTGGTGAACTCCTTTTCCATATCAGATGGTAACTCCTCAATCTTTCGATTAACATCTTCGTGAACCATCTTCACATCCCGAACAAATAAAACATGTCTTTGCTTGGCAACGGTTTTCAAATATTTCAATTTGCCATTAAAGGTCACAGATTGATCCTTGACCCTTAACTCATTGTTCTTGTCAGACTGATCAATTTTGTTGAGAAGACGTAGCTCTTGAGCTTTCAACATGACATCCACTTCAATTCCAGAAACTGAATGTTTACCCCATGCTTCAACTTGAAGTTGGAGTAAGGAGTTGAGCTTGCGGTTTAAAATCTTGAATTGTTTCCTAGACATGAGCATGTTGTCGGGAATATTCTCCTCTTCAGGATCAAACTCGATGTCAAGAAAGGAACCAACAAATCTGACATCATCAATTTCATCGTCATGAACTGTTCTGGGTTTTTCGGTAGATTGTGATGGAAATAAAGATGTAATGGGTTGTTGCATAATGGTATTGAAAGTACGAGAATGAGTAGAGGAAGGGATATGAGATGTATTGGGAACAATGTGATGGGTTTTACACAAAATAACATTCATATGTGCTCATATAAAACCCTAAATGCTTGGATCTAGGTTTCTCTATTGTATATGCAATTCATCCAAGAATTTGAAGCCCTAATCTAGCTTACATAGAAATCGAAATCTATAATAAACTAGTTTAGATGATACTTTTCAATGTTTGCAAGAATCCTTTGATCTTCAAAAAGCTTAGTGTCACAATTGTAACACCTCTAATGGCTTACAAACACCACAAGCACGAGAATGATGTAGAGGAGAGAGGATGAGAGGCAAAAATCAGCTCTAGGGTTCCAAGGGATCAGGTGGCCGATTTTCTAATCCCTAGGGGTCTTTAAATACTTGAGCTTCTGGGGTTCAGTCAAAACCCTAATTGGATGACTTGGGCCCTAAGTAACTTTGAGAATCTTTTGGACTAATGCCTCTATGGATGAAATTAAGATGGACTCCTCTTAATTTCGTCCATGCCTCTAACCCATTAGGATTCTCAGCCCAATATTCAACTATCACACAATTGCCAGTTCTAGTCCCTTTTATTTAATTAATGTCTTTTAGCCATATAATTAATTCTTAATTAATTTTTGTCTAATATTAATTAACCTATATGATTTCTCTTTTAATATATTATTCATATAATATATTAATAAACCATAAGTATGCACACTAAGTTTGTCAATGATCTTTACTTTGTGAAATAGATCGATTGAACATAGTTCCAATGATTCTCATTTCACAATCCCAAATCCTTACCGCAAATGCAAGAATTCCAAATTCCTACCATTTACCGAAATCTGTTAGATTTTAAACTTATATGCACTAATCCTCTTGTAATGATTATGCACAAAGTCACAAAGACTAGTCAACAGTCATTACAAAGTATTCCAATGGAGATCAACTCCATGGAAATGAAGTCTTATATTCAAAGTACATTGAACATCTTTCTTGCATTAAGTTTTCTAAACTTACACTGATTGAATAAATTCCACCTATGGAGACATTTCCATATTCCCATTTTGACTATCACTTCTGAACAAGAGCTGCCTATTTTCAGAATATGTCAATATGGTCCTTCCAAAATGAACACTACATGCTTCCAACTGTCCCTGAGCAACCAATCTTTGGTAAACCTCACATTGTCCTCGACAATTGCTTAATCATCTTAGTCATAGCCAATTCTAGACCTTTCCCCTCTTAATGCCCTGAGCATTTGGAAAATTTAGAAAGGATGAATATCATAGAACATGCAATCGATCCTATATCGGAAGCATATGGGACACGATTCATGATGTCTCACATAAAGACATGATACTAGACCAGTCTTTTGGTAGAATATTTCTATTTCTATTTTCCATGTTATCATAATTCAGATTATGAAAAGGGATGCCATAATCATAATCGAACTTTAGAACACAAATAATGTACCCATATATAAAATTTCCTTATGTTGAACCATTCCAACATAAAATTCATATATATCCTTGACTAAAGATGATTAAAACCTCAATCTAAGATTTTAGAATTGAACTGAAGTATAATTTCCTTTCCCTTAATTATAGCAAAACAACTTTTTCCAATTGAACTTTTGTTTTTTCTATAATTAACATTGCTAACTTGCAACACTTATCATAATTATCATGCTCGCACAAACATGATAATTGTTAGCATAACACTTATGCTCCCACTAGCTATGACATGTACTCAAAAATCAGTTGGACTTCTAGAAATCAATATTTTTTTTGACTTTCTTACCAAAGTTCAAATTTTTAATACGAGATGCTTTGATAAAACTTTATCAAAATCATACACCTTTCCTTAGATAGCACACATGTGTGATAAACAATTTCAAAACTATGAAAAGGTATGCCGTAATCATAGTCTCAATTGTTTAGACATTTTCCATTCCTCACAAGTCCATGTTAGTGTGCCGGTTAACCACACACGCTCCACTAACGACTTTGTGAATGCAAATATCATAATTGCTATCTACTTAAAATCTACTTAGTGAACGTGTTTCCTCCCATTATTTTCATGAATCGGAGAGCAACCTTATGACACTTAGATTTTATGGTGTATGTGTTCCTATCCATATGAATATGTCAAAACCATATTCATAAGACAAGGTTAGTGACAAATCCAAACTCATATGCACCGAACTTGTGCAATCTTAACTTCTTTCCACCTGGCAGCACAAGGGCCATTGCTTCCAAGTAGTTATGCAACCAATTGAGAATTCTCAAAACTCATATGCAAAGCCAACTTTAACTGGAATGGTCACAGAAATAGGAATATGTCAACACGATAGGTTATAAACCCCAAGTCATGAGCTAGTTATAAAACATAGGATTTATTCTTGATTTGATCTTGAAACACTTTCATGATCTTTTAGGCTCCCACTGTCCTCTTGACATATAAGAATCGCTTGCCAAATATTCAAGAGATAGTGCGGATTCTTTATCAAGACAAAACACTTCACACAATTGGCCTAAGTTGGTCTTTGTTTTATCCAAAACATCACAACTTACCAATTTCAAATGTACAAGAGTGGGACACATTTTCTCTTACATTTGACAAGTGTTAATAAACCTTATTTAAGATGTATCACTTAAACTACAATCTTGGAGTATGACTTGAAGACTTGTTTTGGAACGAAGTATGACTCATCTTCTTTATTTAACCATTTCAGCAACTCATGATTCCTCTTCTTAGCCATAATAATGCACTAAGATTTCCTTAGAGGATGAATTGTGTTATGGTCTCACAATCATTAAGATGATCATAAAACATGATACTAAAGTACTCTCCCATCTTTTCAGATTTGAGAAACTTTTATCTTTCTGCCAAATTTGATTCTTCTCATTCACTCTGCCATACATTGAAACTTTTTCAATGTTTTAGAATTATACTTAAACTAATAAATATAACCATATTTACTAAACTTCAGTAAATCATGACGAATAGTCTTTTCGATCTTTGTGGTGGACTTGACCAGTGAACAAGAATGTGTACTCGATCCTTCGGTCCTTCACTTGACTCACTTATACATGTGAACAAGGAATTAGTCTTAATTTTCCCAAGAAGTAAATTCTCATTCGTCATAATACACAACTTACACGATTCCATGTTTCGGTCCAATTGAAACTTGGGTGATGAGAATCTTCCTTATTTGGTAAATTTAGACACCACCTAAAATGAAAGAATCAAATTCATTTTTTCCATTATTTTTAGAAACATACAAATATCAATTTTCAATAAAATCCATTGCAATGAGATATAAACTAAAATAAAATCAAAATTTTATTTATTTAAAATTTGCGGAAATAACTTTTTTCCTTACAATGGTGCTTTAAATGAAAACTATGCTATTACATATTTCCTAGCAATCTATCATAACTCTTAAGTAGTAGCTCAAGAATCCGATCTTCGAACCATGCGATTGAAATTCATCTTCGCAATCAGATTCAACATAATCTTTCTTTCAGTTTCCTTCCCTTTGCTTGATCCTATCATACATCAAAATGTATTAAGAACCTTCAAATAGGAACTTAATAGAGTTAGATAGTGGATTTACCTGAAGCCGAGTCAAACTTTTTGACGTGACCTTCTCTCAGAGCTTTCAGGTAGTTAGGGCAGCTTCGCAACCAATGCCCCTTCCTTTTGGCAATAAAGACATATAGACTCTTTGGTAATGGGACTATCTCAGACTTAGCCTTTCTGTTTACCATTTGGTCAACAGAGTTGACTATGGCTGATCTCTTTCCATTGGGAAATGAAGGCTTTTCTGGATATCAATGTTACCATTGTCAATTTCCATGGAGATTTGGGAAGTTGATCTTCTAATCAAATTTGATTTACTAGTCCTCCAAATCATTGCTGATTCAGCAGCACCAAACAATAGATAAGATCATTGTAGGTCATATCATTGTCTGTTTCATAGTAGTCCCAAACAAACTCACTATGTGACATAGAAAGTGATTGAACATCCAAATTTCTTAAGACTTTGACACCCAACTCTCGGCTTGTCAATATGTGACTTTTTCTCTAAGATGTGATCACACATAGACCTTTCTTGCCAATAGGGCTTGAGTGACCTTGAACTATTCAAGAACTTGTGGGTCAGGGAGAATAATTGGAGGAGGTGGAGGAAGAGAAGTATGATTTCCATGAACCAGTCGCAAGAAATCATCTTCATTAGGAAAGCTTGTTCCAAGGGATTTGTTTGGGATGATCATATATGTCTAAACCAGACATCTCATATGGGAGATATTCAAGTCAGTTGATTTAAGTCCTTAATATAACACCCAATTTGAAATACTAAGGCTAGGACCCAATACAATATTTTATAAGTTGGAAGAGGGATGCCGTAATCCAAGCTATGAAATATTTGAAGGTAGGTGAATGACGATTCACCAATTTCCACCATGAAAAACGATATAATTTAT